CTGCCACTTGGCCTTTTGCAGGGCCAGCACTGAACAGTTTAGGATGGGCTTGGCCACTCTCTCCATCCACATGTGGGGAGGACACAGGAGTGCCGGTCACCCCAACGCTGTCACCAACATCAAGCTCCTGCCACATTCCAAGAGAACTAGAAATTCTGCCTGAACACCACAAACAGAAGAGGGTCCTAGAGCCCCACTCACACACCAACACTATGCGGAGGACAATGGCGAGGGTCAGCACAGAAAGCTACATTCAGTTTGCGGTCAGGACACCGACCCGAGGGGCCTCCTGCTCCTGTGGCCTTAAGCACACAAACTTGGTTGCTTGAATGTACTTTAACTGTAAAAAGCCCCGAAGTAACTCTATGTGCCACTGATGTGCAGAGAGACACTGGGCTCCAGCAACCAGGATGGTGTTGGAGTCACCCAGGCGATGGGGATGTGTCCTGCCTGTCCAAGCCAGGGAGAAGCTCACGCCCAGCCCCTCCTGCTGCCTTCACTTCAGCAGCTCAGCCACTGCCAAGTCAATGCTCAACCCGACCCTCAGCTTAGGAAAGGGCTTTGCTGAGCATCTTGCCCAAGCAGGAGCAGGCCCCGAGCTTGAGTGCTGCCCACAGTGCCCCATCCAGCAGGGCCCTGACCCAGCTCACCAAAGCGCCCAGGCTGCACAGCCACACCAGCCCTCCCCTCTCCCCTCCTGCCTCCCCCAGAGCAGCATCAGGCCAACTGCAGCTGCAGGGAAAGCAGGACGCGCAAGAGGCAGCCTGGGACAGCAACATGTACATTCAAGTTAATCTAATTCAGACCACAACTCTTTTTTATCTAAGAGAATTTGCTCCCTCTATCCCTAGATTAAGCCAACATCAAATTCAGCTCATTCCCTGGCTCTGCCCAGCCAGCAGCTTCCCTGCAATCCTCAGTTAAGGTCTCAGCACAAACCAGCTCACTCCCACCTCTCCACATTAGGCAACTAAAGCTGTTTTCCACGCACACGGATTTCTTCCCAGGCTAGCAATATGTACAGCCATTTCCTTAAAATAAAATACAAAAAAACCAAAATCTGTATGAAACCTGAAGATGCTGTCCTAGAAAAACCACAGCCAACTAGTGGATCTGGATTTGTTTGTCAGCTACACACAGGCACAACAAGTGTTAGAGAAAGTGGCACAGGAGCACAGGGCAGCCGCTTGGTGTTCAGCTGAACTGTGTCAGAGTCTGGGAAGGGTTGTGCATGTTCAGAGACGGGCCTGAAAGCCTTGTCCAGGACTGCTGAGCAGCCAAGACAGTGGATAAGAACAATGCAGGGGGAGAAGGTGGTGCTACTGTCCCTCTGCAGCAGGCTCGGGGTTTGCCTTTTTTGCTTTTGCAATCTCAGAAATTAAAGTGCAATGTTGCCACTTGCCTTCCTCCTGTGACCCCTGAGCTAAGACCAGGACCTGGCTGCCTCCCTGTGCCCAGGCATCTCACCCCTGGGCATCACTGCAAGTGGAACGCGACATCTCAGCTTCTACCTCCTCCTTGAACCACCACCACCCCCAGACTTTGCCCATCCCTGCCTGAAGCCACTCAAGTGGTCTCTGGCCATTGCCACCAGCACCAATCTGCCACCTCCTCTGCCCAGCCGGTGAGCCTGGGGTCAGCTTCACCTGCTGCCAGCCTGCATTTGCTGCCAGCAACCAGGGAAGCCCGGCTCCAGGCACACCTTTGCCAGCATTGGGCCCTCTTGCTGGGCACCAGACCCTCTCCCTGGTGCCTGCCCTAGCCCCGAGTGTATCGGCATTATTGCTTGGGGAAGCACAGCCCCTGCCGAAGGAGGGGATTGGTCTCGCCTCACTCCCTCTCCTCCAAACTTCCCCTCAATTCAAGTGTTGGAAAAAAACAATACAAAACCAAACCCAAGATTGACAAGATCAAGCTGGTGTTTAGAATTTAGCAGTAAGAGAAAGAAGGAAGCATCAGCAAAGGGCAGTGATATATACCTGAGGGCAGCATGCAGGTGAATGGGTGGTCGGAGGCAGCAGCACCCCCATGGGACTGGCTGGAGGGTTTCAAAGCATCCCGACACAGCTCTGCTCTATTGAGGAATGAGGTTTCCAGCCTCAGCTCCTGCCCCAGCTCCAGCCTTTCTCACTGAAGAGCTGGGCCTGCAACAGGGGCTGGGATTAGTGCTCGCCAAGACCACACGCCACAACACACCACAACACAAGGGCAGAGAGAGAGCAGCTCGGCCGCTTTCCCTGGTTTAGGATTAAAGGGATGTGGGACGGAAGGGAGGAGTGCAGTGGGGAGGAAGAGGAGGAAGGGAAGCACTGGGAGTTTTCTAGGGTATATATAACCGCCCCTTCGAGGTGCAAATCTGCATTGCTTATTTAAATTTGTATTCAGAGGAAAAAAGCACTTATGAAACTAGCAGACGACTTTGATGCAAACTAGTACATTTTAATGCCATTTTATTAGAAATCATGCAAACTTTAATATAAAAAATACAAGTGCAATAAGAATCTTTGTGTGTAAATACAGATTCCGGGTTATCGTGTCGTTGTCGGCTTCCCAAAGAAATATTCCCACAAGCATGAGAAGCTGCCGGCTTCCCTGCGTCCCCTCCTTGGACAGCCCCCCCTTAGCACATGCCTGGTTCAGTTCACTTTGATCCCAGTGTTTTGTTATTCCGCCTTTTTTCTGGCTGCTTTTTTTTTTTTTTTTTTTTGCTTTAAATTAATTTGACCACCCAAGAACACCTCTTTTTTTTGTTTTGTTCTTTTTGTTTTTAATTTATTTACATTTCTTTAGTGTCATTTGCAACATGAAACGAGGAGCTCACACCTCCAAGAGTAGGTCAATCTCCTTAGTCCTAGTCAGAGCTGCAACTCCCTGGCACTAAAACCTGCCTCCCCTGCCCCAGCCCCAGCAAGGGCTCTGCCTCCCTCCCAGCCCCCTGCACACTCCGGGGTGCATCCCAGTGGAAAGGGGGCCTTTCCCTTCTTCCCCACCTTGTCCTCACCCCAGACAGCCGGACAACACGGTCACCCACCCATTGGCCTCTGCTAAAACACCACACGCGCACACCACAGACCTGCTTCAGCCTCGGAACTCAAGGCCTGCGTTAACCTGCAACTCCAGCGCGAAAGTAGCCTCCTGCCTCTCCTCTGACCTCAGGCCCTGTCCAGAAAAAGCTCAATCCCAGGGCTGTGGCTGGGAAAGTGAATAAATAAACCGTCTTCACACCTTGCTAATACTTCCTGGGCATACTCCAGGCCCAGTGGTTCAGCCCTACAAGGTTTTACCAGCATCGAGCCAACACATCTCATTGCAGCCAACACAGGCTTCATCTGACCTGTTACAGCAAGTTCTCTGTTAACACGTTCTCGAGCCTTTCATTTCAGACATGGCTTAATCCCATGAGCTTGCTCCATCGTTTTAAAATATTAAAAAGAAAAAAAAAAACCAAAAAACCAAACCCAAAACAACCAACAACAAAACTGTTACAACTGCTGGATATGTCAATAAGAAGCCAGCACTGCAGCAGCGGTTAATGTCTCTACTCTCCTACACTTAAGAAAAGAAGGAAAGAGAAAAGGAAACTTAGCAGGGGTTTGTAGCACAATAAATCATCAACACATCGTCACAAAGAATAAAAGGTTAAAGTCAACAGTTAAAACAGCCTAAACATGTGTGTATCATATATATCATCATCATCAAACAGGATCAGCAGAAACTGAAGCAGCAAGGAGGGAAAGGTGGGTTCTTGTTTTGTTTAAAAATAAAGATGGGTAGAAAGGTCACAGCTTATCCCTGTTAACTCTGGCCTGGCTTCAGCCACCAGCAGCACAGGCACGCTCCTACCCAGCCACCGAGACACAGCCTGGAGGTCACTACATGCCCATTCCCATCACACGATGCTAACACTTGCTCCAGCATTCCCCTAAAAGCAAAAGGGACGAGGCATGGAGAGGGGAGGAAGCCCTTTCCAGCCAAGAAAGGACCACTGGAGCCTGGCACACCCGGGCAGGGGTGAGCCTCCAGGATGCTTGGAGGAGTCATTGTGGCTGAAAGGGACGCTAGCCCTGCTAAACACTGTCCCCTTCCCATCCAAAGCCAGGGGCTGGGTTAAGAGAGCCAAGCTGCGTTACTCTGGGGAGCGGGTAGGGGACGGGGCTGGGAGGGGTCACAAGCCTTGCTGAGAAAGCACTGCAAGGGGAGCTGGCTGTTGCAGCGGTGACAAGGAGGCGACTGAGCCCAGGCTCTCGCTGACGGATGTGCTACGCCAGGGGGAAGTGCTGCTGGAAAGGTTGGGGAGTTTGGAGACGACGATTTCTGCTCCGTGGTCTGTTCGAGCCTTGGCCTTCTCACGGAACGTCAGCTTGTGAGATTCAATCTGCAGCGACACAAGGGCAGGTGAGAAGGGGAAGGGCAAGGAGGAAAGAGGAGGAGAGAGGGGGACAGGAGGGGAATGGAAGACGATACCATAATGTCATCATTAGATGCCTGGAAAATAAAAGGCAATTTTCTGAATTAAAAAAAAGGCAAATCAACCCTACAGACATCGATACAAACAGTTCAAGGTTCAGCTTTACAGCGGTGTGACCAGTGCCCGGGGGGCGGCTGCTCTGCCCTGCTGCAGTGCTCTCCCCATCCCACCCGGCAGCGTGTGTAGAGAGAAGGTGCAACACTTACTTGTTTCTTGTATCTGAGTCTCGAAGCTCTGAATTTCCCTTTGGTCACCACCACTGAGGGCAGTGGGCACTGCCGGCCCTACGCCATTCTCCCGCATCTCACTGCCTGCCTGGGCCGCTGTCACCTCTCCGTTTTGGGAGCTGCTCTGGCTCCACGCTCCCCTCAGCCTACAATGAGACAACGGGGTGGGGAGGACGACAGGGACGAGTCAATAGAAGATGGGGGTGCGTGAAGGGGGGTGATGTGCGGGTTCCCGGAGCCCCCTCCGCCCTCCCCAGTTGCCAAGGCACACGCAGGGACGGGGCGGGGTGTGTTTGGAAGCAGGAAGCAGCCCTTCCGCTCCCCGGGAAGCCACCATCCTGACCAGCTTTCCAGCTTCTCACAGCATTTTGCTCCCTGCCAGCTCATCCAAGCATGGCCACTGCGTCCCTGACCACAGGGGCCAGGGCTCGGCGCCCTCTCCCCAAACACACGCCTGTAATACCCTGGTGACAGAGCACTAGCATGGCAAATGCTGACCAAGGCACGTCGATAGGACTAAAGCAGAGCGCTATGGGGTCAAAAGCAAGCAGGTGGTTTGGGCACACTACAGTGGAGCCACCTCCATTATTTGGGGACACATTGGGGAACCCAAACAATACATAGTGCATCCCAAAACTGGAAGACCAAACTGTTTGCACAAAGGATGTCATCTTCACTCGATGCTGGACTATGAACTGGGAGCAGAGTCTTTGGAGCAGAGTCTTTAGAGAAGATCCTGTCCTGCTCTGTTCTCCCAGAGCTGGTCATCCCACCTGCAGTCACCAACTTCTACTAGCCTTAGAGAAGAGCTAAGTCCTACTGCTGTTAGAGAAGAGACTAATATGCTGGTGGGAGCCTGCTGAGAGTAATGCAGACTTGCTTGGAAAGACACCAACACTGCAGGGCATGGTAAGCAAAGAATATATTACATTGGACCAGCCCCATTCCAGGAAGGAACAACCCACCCAGACAGGACATCCCCTTGCTGCCATGATCAGCACACAGAACTACAGGAGGAGGTGGCACTCTCCAGTCCAAAGCAGCTCCGGTCTGACCTCATGCCTTTGTCCCACAAAGCCTTATACACAGGGAATAAGGCTGCTGCACTCTCCTCCGACTAAATCAGGCCCTCTCCCTGCATACCAGATAGTAATGCCATGGATTGATTCTGGACCTGCTTTACTCAAAAAGCAGCAAAATCATCCCACCTTCCTTCTGAGGTTCCTTCTGATTCTGTGTGGATTGTACACTCCAGTGAAATGGAACAGGCATTGTGACAGAAAGTTCCCTATCCCTGCCAACACACCAGCAACTTCTCTAGTTCCTTTCAGCTTTTCACTGAGCCCCATTTGTCAGGTTGAAGTTTACATAAAGGACTGGAGATAGGAGAGTCCTGATATGTCCTCAGCAAATGTTCTGGCAGTCATCTCTTATTTTAATGGGGATGATTAAACACGTCCTAAATAGACTTGTGAATTCTGCTGCATGATCTGCTCTTTAGGACAGGGATTATTTCTTTCAAATTCACACAGCATTTAACACAACAGCTCAAGCTGGCTGAACTCTGAACCCTTCCACAACACAAAAGTGCTCAGACAAAACAATGCTGGGGCAATGGAGGGAACTCAGTGCTTAGAAGGGTATCCTTCTCCTCCCTCTGCCTATCCTGCTGGGAGCAAAGACTAAGTCACATTTTAATGGTTCTGGTGCTGTCCACCAGATTGTTTTCTCCACTTCCAGAGCTGCCAGCCAATTCAGAAGCAACAGTGTTTCACGTAAAACCCCCAGCATTAGTGACTACCTAAAGAGAATCCCCAGCACTGCTCTAATCATCACATGGCGTGATAGGTCAAGCTCACACATCCATCAGTCGGTCAGCCAAGTGGGGTAATTTCCCTCCCCTAAGCACAGATGTTGCGTTGCTGTAATGAGACCTGAAATTTGTGCAGCCAAGGCTGGGGGCAGCTGATGTTCTCATGTTCTCATGGGGAGAAGTGCCGAATCACAGCAATGAAAGCACAATAATCCTTTCTTATCTTTGCACAAAAGGCCTTCAGGCTGAAAACTGCCCCCAAGAACTGCAAGGTGCCATCTCCCCACCTTTACTGGGGGTAAAAAAACAGGGAAAGGGTCACAGGCAGCTTCTCTGATGGGCTTATAGCTTACAGAGTGATCCTTGCTTTCAGATTCTTAGGGGAAGGATGCAGACGGGCAGTAGAAGCCCTCTGAGTAACACCTAGCAGGGAGCCCACTCAGGTAAGCCACTGAAGTGGTTCATAGCTCTCTCCTTTTCAGCTCATACTTACTCCTCGGGTTTACAACAGAAGCCACAGAAATAAGTGGATGGTTATAAAATGCTGGGGGTAAAGAAGCTGCAGGACAAGGAGAAGAACCAAATTTAAACCCTACCCTAAATGCTAGAGCTTGCTGCACCCACCTTCACAGTTCCTCCTGCTGGTAAGTGTCCCACATTGTCCAGAGAACCCACTTTGGCTTGGGCCTTCTCCTTGAAGTTCAGCTTCTGGTTCTCAATTTTGACATCTCCTCCCCCTAGAACAAGATTATGTAGGACTGAGTTTATTAATGCCTCCAGAAAAGTCCCACCTGAGATCTGTCCTCTTCCCAGCCGCTGGGTGGTTCCTTGTACTTTGGAGAGCCCTGAAGATGCCCTCAGGTAATGAACACCACACATCCAAGAAATACCACACATCCAAGAAATACCACACATCCAAGACACTAGGCTGGAAGACAGCCTCAGGTCAACTGCCTCACTAGATCTCTCTGCCCCAACAGAGGTGTGAAATGCCACTTCCCCCCAATCCCACACTGGTAGGTTTCCAACAACTAATACCCACTGCCACTCCTGTCTGTGTCCCTTGCCAAGGTCTCTGCCAGCTCAGCCCATCTGCATAGTCAGCGCTGGGACATGTTCTGCTCCTTTTTATTGACTTCCTTCCTTTGCTTGTCATCCATTCCCACTCCTGCTCCATCTCTGGCAGTTCTTGTCTGGCTGCCTGGACCAACAGCTCCCTCCCTGATACACAGACCCACGTGCCACTGCCTCAGCTACTCGGGAGGCAGCCATGCAGGCAGGGAGAGCCAGGTGCAGGAAATGGACTTAGTAGGAAGTTCTTCCCTGTGAGGATGGTGAGGCCCTGGCACAGGTTGCCCAGAGAAGCTGTGGCTGCCCCATCCCTGGCAGTGTTCAAGGCCAGGTTGGACGGGGCTTGGAGCAACCTGCTCTAGTGGAGGTGTCCCTGCCCATGGCAGGGGGGGGGGGGTGGGTGAGCTTTTAAGGGCCTTCCA